TATATATATATATAAAACATGTATATATATAAAAAATGCTTCCCCAATCTTACGTAAACTTATTATATAACTTATTCTACACATGTCGCAGTTCTTTATCACGGCTATTTAGAACTGTTGGAATGTTATTCAATATCAAGGAATATCATTCATTATGATCTCAGTTAACAAATCTTGATGACTTATAAATATCATTGGGAAAAATAAGCGTGACATTAATGATTGTACAAATTCCGTAAAGAAATCTTTTGTGAAAATTTTAAACGAGGTTAAGAAATGAAAATAGTGAGAGAACACAACGTTATTTTTTATCAATATATATTTAAGTTTATAATAACAATTCATAATCAAGTATATTTAATCACAGGTATATTTAAATCAATCGAATATTTGTGTTTATTGTGTCCATTGCAGAAGAAGATATGTTTTATGCATGATCGGCAGATACAGAAAGAAAGAGAGAGATAAAAAGAGAGAATGAGTAGAGAAGGGAAAGAGAAATCGTAAAAGATAAATAAACTGATCTCTTTTTTGAAACGTTTCACTGCGCTTTACCTGCCCTTTATGCCTTGACTATGTAATAATAAAAGGTACACGATCACAGCTTAACGCAGCAATTTATAAATGCAGTATCATTATGAGCGCTGTACTTTTTTATTCCTCAACAACCTTAATTGAAGTTCGTTTAATCATCGAAACATTCAATTATTTTAAAGACTACAAAGAACTTTATCAGATTGAGAGCGTAGTGTTGATTTTATATTACACGTTGCATAATAATTATTATGTATGCAATTTAATTATGATCAGGTTTGTACGTTGAACTTGAATTTTATCATATCGTACATATCTATATGGTACAGCCATTAAGATCGTGAAAAGAAATCTTGGAGGCGTCTCGATGACATTCCGAGATTTCCTCGAGTGAATACTTCTCTCGTGAAGAGGGTCGTAACATCGTAAACGTTCTCGCTCTCGAAAATTTTTTTTGTAATCTTCGTAAAGATCGAAAGATAATTCGTGGGACCCGTGAACATAACTCAATGTCCGGATTGAAATAAATATTGGGTCTGAGAAATCTCGACCGCTCTCCCGAAAACTATTTTCCTTTACTGGAAAGTCGAAATGATTTCTTAGTCAAAATTTTAAAAGAGCTCTTTAAATATATATAACTTACGACATATATATGCGTTATTTCCTGAATTATTTGCGATTTAATAATTAGAATTATATAGAATACAAAATTTCCAATAATTTTCTAAATCGTGAGCAATTCAGCAGGAAAAATGCGTAGACTTAAGCATTTCTTTTGCAGTAAAAATAAAAATGCTTAAAAATATATGAATCACATCTCAAAGTATTATTAAAAATACAAAGATTTTATATATATTGTTCTATTATTACATATGAGTGTAAAATTTGAGCACAATTCTCCTATTGTATAAAAGTTATTTAATTTTTTCGTGATTTTTTCTTGATTTTATAAAATTGCGTTATATACTAGTTATTTGCAAGTTTGATATGATTGTAAACAATATTAAAATTCAAATTAAATTTTTTATGTACTAATCAAATTCTAATAAATATTTATACGAAAATTCATTTATATTTACTCGTTTATTTATTTATTTAAAACCAGCGAAATATAGCCATTTGCTGCATAAAGCCATTATAAATCAAATTTGTTGTTTTATTTTTTGGTTTCAAGATGTATTTATGATAAAAATCTTTTGACTGATATTAGATAGTATTGGCTGTTTCTGATATTTTAATATATATAATTGATACTTTAAGTGATATTATATAAAACTAAAATATTCTAAAAATTACAATACGTTGCTTTTTTATCTCTCTCTCTCTCTCTTTCGATCTCTTACAATTTATTTTATCCTTGAATATATTTTATTATAAAAAAAGTAAATTTAAAATGATATAATAAATATAAAACAAGATAAATTGATAAAAACAACAAATTTCAGATGCTTAATTCATGATTTTTGATAAGAATGTAGACGACTTGAGGAGAGGAAAGGTGCGCGGGAAGGAAAGAGTTGATTACCCGGAAACGCGTTCAACAGTAGAACGTTAATTCGATCAGAAGGTGCAACCGACGATAGGAACAACTAGTTCCCCTAGAAGAAGAGGAAGAAAGAAACAATGCAGTCCCTTAACTAGAAAGAAACGGGGCCCGTTTATGTGTGAGGCAAGCACACGACTCATCCAGATGCACATATACATACGATGCTCCGTTATGCGCATGCGTCAGAAGTGGACCTCATCTCCGAGGACTGCAGGTTTATGCGCGATCGGATAGTCCCGCTGGCTGGCTTGTGAGACCCTATGGTGGGATGAGGAGGAGGGCCAGTGGATGGTGGGGGATTAAAGAGAGTCAACGGGGTCCGTGCGCATTTTGCTCAGTCGATAGACGGCGAGGCGTGGGGGGTAAGGAGGCGGGGATGTGGACGGGAGGCAAAGAGAGGGGCTTACGGGGCCCAGACTACTGAGTTCACTTACTTGCGGATTCAGTAGCTCACGAGAGTCCGTACGATTGAGTTTTCTCGATTGATAGTGCTCGTTCACGGAGCCGCTCTCAACATAACTGTAAATTCGCCCGAGTGAGGGAAGTGACAGACGCGTATGGACCTCAGTGTCTGGAGCACGCGGAAACCGGTCGGAGATTCAGTGTTTTGGAACGACACGAAACACCCCGAACGCGTATTCGAGGACCGAATCGAGCTAGATCCTATTTTTTTTCGGGGTGCCGGCGAACCTTTCGCATGATCGGCGAATCCATGATCGCTGGAATTTTTTGTAAGAATTCTCTGCTCGTGCAACTCCGTTCCGGAATTCAGAACAGAATCATTCCATGATCTCTCCACGCTGATTTTTGCGTTGGCGTAAGAAGCAAGGACAGGTAATGGTGAATCACCGTGGCCGAAGCTACAGGTGGTCTGTTCGCCAAGTACTCTCGAATATGTCACTGTTGTGCACAAGATCGTACTGATCGTGGTTTGTTTCGGTCTAGACGTGTTTTTGTAGCTTGTGCCACGATCGCGATTTTGACTGCACCGGTGAGCGGAGAAGCGGCTCGCTTACCACTTCGATGTAGTAGTAGTGCTAAGTGACAACGTAGTGCATCGCTCCCGACGTCAGGTCACGATGCCAAAGATCTTCCTTATCAAGAATCGACTGCATCAGCAGCAGTTGCGGCTCCTAGAATCGCAACATCCCAGCAAGAGTCCACCTCCCGGTAGTGGCAAAGATAGCCCGCTTGGCACCTCGGAACCGTTGAGTCTCATCGTCAACAAGGATCAATGTAAAGTGATTTCTAATTAAAATGGAGGGGAACCGGCATAATTTCGGCGATCTCAGTTTTCTACACTTGTGTTAACCTCTGTAGACACATTAGGTTCTTTTTCTTTTAACCCAAGCGAAATTTTGCTCTCAAATTTCTTAGCACAAATTTCAATTTTTATTAAATAAAAGTTTTTATTAAATAAAAGTTTTAACATTTGAGTTTAATAATTATTTGGCAATGTAGTAGAGATGTTAAAAAGTAATTCTGGATTTTTAAATATTTTTTTTTGAAAGCTTAGAAAAGGAAAAGAATTTGGGCTGAATAAAAAATGATTCGGAATACCTATGGAGTAAATATATGTATGTCTACGAAGGGTTAAATTCAATGTAACATCTTTTCTTTAAAGGCCGTTTGAAGGTAGTGCCGAAAACCGTAAGAAATTGACTGATCATGATTGAATGAGAAGAGAATATTTGACTAATTTGTCAATTTCTTATAGCTTGCTGCTTCTATTGTAGGAGTATCGTAGACGATATTATAGACGTTTTTATAGACGATTTTTTTATATTGTAGATTTTTTATATTGTAGTAAGAGTAGAAATTCGTCGAAATTATACCAGTTCTAGTTCCTGAATTTTTTCTTACCGTCTAATATTTAAGATATCTCAAATTTTGATATATATTTTCTTGACAATCTTTGGTCAGTTTGAAGTACAATATATTTTTTTTTCTAGAAAAATTTTCCCACCATTATTTTCTTTTAAGTTTACGTCTGTGAATGAATCAGAATTCTGTGAATTATATAAGTTATATAGTTTTAACAACTTAAAAGAAATCAAAACTTTAGAAAAAATAAAAATTTTTAAATTAGCTCCATATTTTTTAAGATACCTTTGAAGCTTCAAACAATTTGGAGTTAACTTCGATTCTTCGAATTTAAAAGTAGTAGTTCCAGTATAAGTTCGATTTCAAATTTGAATTTTCTCTACAAAATTAAAATAAAAAAATTGAAGTATGAAATCGCTGTAGATACCTATAATGTATATAATCAAATTAAATGAATTAATCGAATTGAACGAATTATGAAATTCATAATATTATTTTGCAATTATCGACATAATTACTGTATTTCGATTATGGACTTTTATGCATGGGAGCTTTATGTACTTATATAATGCGATTACAAAGATAAATGAAGAATAAATTAATAAAGCACAAGACAATTATTTTTTCAGTGCTGTGTACACAGTAATTTGATATGTCGATTAATGGATTGTTATAAAGTTGCATAAGCCGCTGCGGTAAAATTAAGATACTGATCTCAACAATTTAATTTATAATATGCAAATCGTCAATAACGCGGAACGAAGCACAAGTGCAATTCTATTTTGGCTTCCCTCTCGTCGGATATCCCTTTTACAGTACTTGTCGAGCAAGAAAGCAAATAAAAGAGGGAGGGAAACAAAAAAGCGTCCTAAAATGTTACATTTCTGCTGCAGGTGCAATCGGGATACAGGTGCGATTGCATTTCGAACATTTCGGTTCTTGGCGTTATCATGCAAAGCATTAAGGCTCTTTTATTTTCGTGAATCGCATTATGCTTTATTTAAATTATTCGCGTGTACATATTTTTCTCTCATTATGCAGTTCTCGCAAATTTAATAGCTCATGATACAGCGATTCCTCTTTTCCATCGCATTCGTATAAAAAATATCGTTGTCTCTTTTATTTCCATTAATGTAGATTAATTTTAATCTTGGTTCAACTTGCTTTTCATTCTTTTCTAATTCTTAAAACTACAAAAAGATTAAAAAAATAAGTTGTATTGCACTGAGAGAACAATTATAATGTTTAGAACAACTATAATTTTGTTGATATGTGACTTATCAAAATTTTGTTATGTTTTAATTTATAAATTGTATTATTCTAATTAAATTTTGTTATTCTAATAAATTCTGATTAGAACAACACAATTTTTTAAAACAAAATTTTATCAAATTTATTAACAAAATTGTATATCAAACATTTCTCGCAATATAAGATTAAAGTTAATTTATGTTAAAAACTAATTTATGTTAAAAATTAAATATTTTCGACCATTGCATTGCACGTGGACATTTTTTTCTCATTTTAATATTGCTCAGTAATTTATGTACCACGCGCTTTCCATCATTGCCTAACATAATCACAGCGATACGCCAGTTTTAACAGAAAGAAAAAAAAAGTTCTTGTGTCGCTCGGCATCGAGTAATGGCTGACCTTTGGCAGTCGGCGAACTTGTCCGTATATCTGCGCATGCCACATATAGTATATATAGTATAGTTAATTACATGAGTGCCACTTGTGCACGAACACTTCGCGCGATTGCATAATGACGTTTACGTCGTACGAACGGTTTCGTCGAAAACAACGGTCATCCTTCCGCGCATCAGCCACGCCGATGAGGAACGGTATAGTGAGTGAACGGCCGTAAAGCACAATTGCAATTTGCACGTTGTGCACGATGATTGCCTATCGACGCAATTTCACCAAGGTCGAGCGAGTTTGCACGACACTGGTAGAGAAATTTTGAAAATTTAACAACAGAACAATAGGTCGCAATAATGTCGTCGGAATGACATTGAATTGAATTGTTAAACCTGAAACACAATTGAAAAGCTTTGGCAATAGGAACAGGGAGAATAACAGATTATCAGAGAAACTGTGAGTTCTAGTACACGGTTTCTAATATCTATATAGCTTGCTATTTGTCATTCCCTGCTTTTAGACTGTGTGTTAAGCTAATTGAACAATAATTTTTAATATACTCCGGAAGTCATTTTGATGCCATTTTAATGTTATCATGCTTTTTTGTTCTCCTTGGAGAGTTTTTTTTACTCCAAGGGCAAAAATCGGTATTAACGAGGTTTTTTTATGTTACATAATTACTTTTGTCTCAACAGTCTCCTCCAGATGCACTTATTGTTATCGCAAGTCGTTGCGAATGTAATGACTTTTTCGTCGTTTTTAGCGGCCGTAAAGATAAACCGAAGTTTGACTAATTGCGTGAAAATTGACGTGCTCGACAAGTCGTCGCTGCATAGTTTAGTTACATAATTCACTGCTGATTTTTCGTTTGGGCATATTAGTCCTCGGGCGACGGTCTAGTCGAGGTCGATCACGGGTGGTACTTTTACAACGGTATAGTGAGTAGTAGGTGGAGGATGTAGTCCTAAAACTGGTTTAGGAAAGTGACCGGGGCGGTTCCTCCTTTATTCCTTTTCCCTTTTTTTTGTGCGCGATCTCGCTCCTTCGTCTTCCCTCTCCGTCTCTCCCTATTTTTGATTCTTGTTTTGCGTCAGGTTCCTGCGCTCACGAGACTATACGAATGATGCGCAAAACGCGATGTCGATGGCCTGTTACTGGCGATCACCATGCCTTGCAGGTGCATGCGTTATTTCTGCCTGCTTCCCTCTCAACCGGTTTTTATTATTAATTATAATATATGTTAATTAAACATTTATATTATACGGAAGCAACTTATTATTGTTAGCATCATTCTAAGCTTCGGCTGCCTCACTGCATATTTTACCACAATAACCATCTTTTTTGAGACGCGTAACCGACGCATCCGTTCAGTTAATGCGACGATGTCCAATTAAATAATTCATCATTTCTCAAATTTAATGGTTCGCGTATAAATCGTCTCATTAGATGTACGTTGCTTAGAACTCTTTCGTTCGTGTGGCAAGTGCGGCTTGATGAAATATTGTCGCGATATTGTCGCGGTAAATATCGTTATTCTTGAAAAGAAGAAGATTCATCGAACGCGCGTGCATCGGCCGGGAGATATGTTACATAAACGTACGTCTCCGTGTATCGTGCACGCGCGTATTGGTTTTATTTGCATTTTCCGCGTTGCCGATCAAACGGAATCCAGACTGATGCGAGATCGTAATGGTACACCGCGCGCGCTGTTCGTATAACGTTTCCTGCTACACTCGCGCTACAGCGAGCCGAGCGGCGATGGACGAGTCGACACGTGTATGCGTTCCGATGCGCCAAGGCGCGCCGGACCGGAGATTTCAATGCTCACCTAAGCGATGCGTCGCCGCTTGTCTGCTCGCGGGCGGGGATAATATTTTTCTTCTCCCGACGATTCTCCTTCTCTCGGAATGTTCCCGCGTATGCGTTGAAAGAAAAAGAGTCTGGTAATAGCTACTAAATGTTGAGTGAAGTAATCAATTGTTCGATTAATATAACTAAAAACTTTTTACTTTCCTAATTATTTAACTGAATTTAAGTATTAAACTGAAAAAAAGATAACATTGAATTTTAATACTTATGTGAATGGTTCTAAGTAAATATTTATTTGATATAAAAACCTTTAATTTCATTGTTATTTTTTTTTTAGTAAATAGACATTTATTTGCTACAAGCAAATGTTTACTTGTGGTACTATTCAAAAATTATTTGAAAAAAATCTAAATATGTTGTACTGAAAGTTGTATTGAAAAATTAAATTGAATTTTTTTTTAATTTCTAGTGTAAGAATTTAATAGAAATAGACACAACAGAGAAGTTATTAACATCAGAATTGTATGGTTCAATGGCAATCTAGTAATAAAATAATATGATCTTGATTTAAATCCTGAAGCGCCCTGATATTTCTCTCGTATGTCGCTTATTTCTTACACTAGATATGGATGTAATTATTGAAGTAATTTCTTTGTGTATTTTTCTTGCATTTTTCCTCGGAATAGTCGTAATTTCGCCATTTTTTATATTCCTTCTTAACGTTGCAAACTTTAATTAATAATAAGTACACTATAAAAAATAAATAAAATGTTAATTTTAACTTGAAGATGTATATAGTTAATTTTCTGAGAATTGCAAAAATGTTAAAATTAACATTTTTTTGCATGTCTCAGTCTATTATACGTCTTTAAGTTAAAATTAAAATTTTTACAGTATACGTAGAAATAACTTACGTGGCATAACTATCCTATAATTGCACGAACTTGGATGTGTCTATTATG